TTTTCTTTTATTGATCCATTTCATTATGTCAGGGTTTTCATTACAGCTTATTGAAAGAAAGCCACAGAATTTAGCAAGATTATAGTTAAACCACATTTTAGCAAAGACTGAAATAGAAATGGAAAAAAAACTAAAGAGGTGACAATTAATTTTGCTTGAGTTTCAAAAAAAAATCAATAACAAGTTATCATTACTCATCAAAAAAAATCCAGAAAAGAAAGATACTAATCAACATGTAGGAGAGAATGCATTGCAAATACTACAGTTTTCTCCTGTTGTAAAAGTATACATCTCTCAAACTCTGTATGAAAGCTAATTGATAATATATCTTAACAGTCATAAAACTACCATCAACTGATGATCCACCTCTGGCAAAGGGGTATCTAGGCAGACAAAATTTTTAATTGTGTCCAAGGAGAAAGATGCTCTAGCTCTTGAACACAAGTATTTGATTTCAGCCACAAGTCAATCTCCATAGCAGACGTGGATGCAGCTGGTTCTTCTACTTTGACAGCACTAACATCTAGCTAAGTCAGCTTGCCCTGATTCCTTGAGCACTAAATAAAAAACCTTCTGATAATTTGGTTTCTGATGCAAATTGACCTTAGGGACAGAATGTTCTGAGCAGCCAACACTAAGAATCTGATCTACTTGGTAATTACATTTCTTATAGTAACATAGACTGTCATTCTGTTATTTTATTTTCAAAAAGAAATTCCACCCCATTTAACAACATGTTATGTCCATGTGCAAACTTAGAAAAATGCCCAATAAACAGAAGGCTCTAATGCCCAAACAAAGATGCTTGTATTACACTTACTCTTTCACTTTTTAAAATGTAAATGGTCAACAGGGCCAAAAAGTTACACTTAGCCCACTGCCAGTGCTGGATTGAATTCCATTGGCATGAATCTGTTAGGATAAAATTACCCATCCAATAAGGCTTGTTCCCCACCCCCTACCTTCTCCCTCCACTCAGGCTTACCCCCAAACCCAACTTTGCCCAAGCCCTTAACACAAGGCCTGAGAGGGACCCAATGGAGAGGGGAAAGCATGGAGATACACATCTCTGAAAGTAAATATGTGTTATCCTGCTTGACACCACACCTCAGGGCAGAGCAAACCAGGGGTCATTTCCCTAGTCTTCTGCACCCCAAGATGGCAGCACAATAGTTCTGGTTTAAAGGCAAAGAAGAGCCACAGTTTAAACAGAGAAATCAGAATAAAACGTTCAACCTGGGATGTGATGTAAAATGAATGTAAAAAGATAGCACTGAAAATAGTCATAATCACTCTTCAAAAAAACCATTCTCAAGGGAATTTAGCAGAGAAATTAACCAAACAGAGGCATAAACACAAAATTTGCCTGAACCACATCAATTTGCTAAACCTACACTTAGACTCTCTTTTGAAACAAGGCAAGTAAAATATGAATTTAAAAATAGAAAACCAGTTTCCTGAGCCTTGAAATATTATGCTTTGGGTGACAATTTATAAGAGGACTATACTCCATCTTGGTAAAATTCCCTTTGAACACATTTGACTGGGATAGACACACTTAAATTCCTAAAACCATTAGATGAGAGAAAAACCAAAATAGCAGAATATCCTCTGAGTTTCTAATTTCCTCAGTTACCCAGAAGTTGCCATCCTCTCTAAAGAGAGGACACTGCCCCCTCCCTGCCCCGATGAGCTGCCACAATCACAGAACTGTGCCCTTCCCAAAATGTTTGAGAGTGGCAGCCTCCGATGTGAAAGCATGAGGACATCTGCGTGTGGCTGGGCCGGCCCTGTGGCCTCCCTGGACCAGGCAGTCACATATCTGTCTCACACAGCACTTACCAAAGTCTGGGTGATTCCGTGCCAAACAATACCAGGTGTGGGACGTCAAAATTACATGCAGTGCACATAGGGCTGTGTCACGTTAAGACTGGTGCCTTCTCAGTCTCTGTTCAACAAAGGTCCAAAAAATCTTGGCATCCAGCCACACCCAGGTCACCGTATTACCACAGCAATGACAATTATTATTCTGCATCAAATGCCCACCGGTGCATGACCTGGTGTCATGGGAATTAAGCAGTCACCCACAAAAGACACAGAAGCACAGAGACTACTGCCAATGGTCTCTCAGAGGAGGAAGTAAAAAGACAAGTGCAAGGGAGGGAGAGGGAAGAAGAATGGGAAGGGATGAGAAAAGAGACCTGCAGGGGCAGATGGACACGGATCAGACCTGGCCCCTGCTGCACGGTGGCTTTTTATTATGCAAGTTGACCTCATTTTTCACCCCATGTAGAAAAGTCACTCAGCACCTCAAGTTCAACATGGCTTGATCTGAATATTTTTTAGATGTTCAAGATACAGATCCGGGTCAGGGGACAAGTTTTTTCTTGTTGTCTCTATTTTCTTAAGTATCTCCAATGAATAATTTTTAGTAGAAAAATTTTAAATCAGGCTCTGAAAATTCATCTACAGTATCATCCAACTTGATGTATAGAATATATGGATAGTACAAGTGTCTGGAAGGGTATCCACAGTTGCAATCCTATGCTTCTCTCCCCAGCTGCCATAGTCCCTTACCCAGTTCTTTCTGCAGCCCTCCACTCTTACTCTCTGCACCTTCTCTCTGGGAATCACATCCACTCCAATGTCCTCAATTATCATTCATCCTCCGGTGGCCCCCAAATCTGTATCTATAGCCTAGTCTTCTCTGAGCGCCAGATCAATACATTCAAGTGACAATAGGGTGTATCCATCTGGATGTCACACAGTTACCTCAAACTCAATTTATTTTAAATGGATTAGGCTTCCCCTCCCAAATCTTTTTCTCCTGCCTAATAATAGAGCAAGAAAAAAGTTAGTTCCCTTTACCCTCATCCCATCCTTAAAAATGATGTCAAATTAGCCCCCACATGTTCATGATTCAGTAGGGTCACCATACCCAACAACTTTAAGCTAACCAGTCCTTGGTCCTTTTGTCTACTATAGGCAATATTAGAGTAAGTATATGGAAGCCTGAGGCTAAAACCAGATCATAACTGAACAGACATTTTACCCTTTCCTGGCCTCATGTATAAAGCAGGATAAGATCTCCAAACTGACTAGGAATATGTTGTGAGGGCCAGTGAGATCATGTCTGATGAAACACTTGGTGTCCTTAGAAATAAGAAAACCCTATTTCTTTGAGAAATTATTGTAACAGTTGCCTTGCAGGAATGACATCACTCTACACAGTGGTCACTTAATAAGTGCTAAACTTTATTGTTGTTATTATTTATTAAATGATGCTGACACGTGGAAGAATGCCCCCAGCGAAACAAAGGTCAACCAAAAAAGCTATCAACCTTGAATTCCAGGGAATTAAGCGTGCTCACTTTTCTTAATTAACTGCTATGTGCCAGAACATTCTAAGTATTTCCCATGTATTACTTCATTTAATCCTCACAACGAGCCCCATCTTCAGCACTTATCTATTATTTCAGAGAGAAAACTTCAACCCATCTCATGTTTAATCTAAATATTTTTTCCACTCAGTACATGCTCCAATCACCTGCTCCATTCCCAACACTTTTCTTTTTCAAAAATTTTTGAAAAAATCAGTATTTGTTTTAGATAAATAAGAACACATAGATGAATAAAAAGTTAAAAGGTAAAGATTACTCTATCCTTCCACCCAAAGATAACCACTGTTACTATTTGGGTGTCTGTAATTCCAGAGTTTTTAGTGTCTACTTAAACGTCTTATATTCTCAAAAAAGTGGAATCATACTATGAATACTGCTATCTAACCTACCTTTCTCACTTAACAATGCATGATGAATATCGTTCCCTGGCAATATGGATTGCAAGTGACATATTTATCTTATACCGTGTGAATATTCTTTAATTTATTTAACCAATCCAGTATGCTAAATTGTTTAAGTTGTTTCCAGTTTTTACTATTTCATACATTGCTGGGATGAACAGCCTTGTACATACAGTTTTTGGCCAATGAATCAATTATTTCCTTAGGACAAAGGGTTTACATATTTTAAGGCTTATGATATGTATTACAAAATGGCCCTCCACAAACCTTGAGCCAGTGTAAGCTCATTCCTACCACCAGGGTTTGAAAGGATCCATTTTGCCACACCCTCAAGCACACTGCAGAGTGGGTGAGAGAGGAACTTTTATATGAATTCCAATTATTCTTTCTAGTCAAAATTATTTACTGGCTCTCACCGTTCAGTGGGATAATATTCAAACAGTTCTCCACAAACTGGCTTCAGCCAGCTTTCCAAATTTATTTACTTCCCATCCTTACACTCTCCACTCTAAGCAGACTAGTCTCCCCCTTACTGTCATAGGAAGACTTCCTACCTCTATGCCTTTCTCACACCAGTCCCCCGTCACTCCCATCATACGGAATGCCCTAACTACCTATCCCATAGAGGACTCATTTTAAATGGCCACTTCCTCCATAAATCTGTAGCTGACTATTGTATATCACATAAACCTTTGCTTCCTCTGTGCTCTGAACGCACATATTTGACGATGAATATATGCTTGAGATACTCTGTTATCTTTTTGTTTGTATGTTTCTTATCTCTCCAACTAGATTATAAACCAAAAGACAAGGATGGTTTCTTTTTCTTCTTTCTTTTTTTTTCCAGCATTAACACACAACTTTATTGATGATATACAAATTAAGTCAATGCCCATGACAGGAGGGAGCTTATTTATGACGAATTGGTTCACTGTCACTTATGCAGAAGAAATAGTAAAAATATTTCAATCTAGGCAGTGAGATAAAAAGCAACAAACTTGTTTTCAGAACAGGTAGTGATATTCATTCATCCAGCTTAGACCTGAAGACCAACTCAGATAAATATCAGCATTGATGATACAATATGATATTCATTACTCAAAATTGGCATCTGAAAGGATTCCTTTACCATATAAACAAGGTGGAGAAAAGGAATAGTTTACAATGTGTGTTGCTTCTAAACTACAAAATCAAGAAGTTATTCCTGGCTCTTTGGGAACATATGCTCAGTCAGTTTGGCCATGAATTTTCCAACTTTTACTTTCACCAAAAAATCATGATGGCTTTCTATCCCCAGAATCTTATCAGCACACACTTGAAATTCTTTTAAAAAGAAAAACAGTGAACCTTCGCTGAATTGATTCTGAGTAGGTTCATTTTCCTCCCATTTAAAATTGTCATTTATGTTCTCAAATATGACCAGAAGTTTAAGCATCACCTCTTTGTTCTCCTTCTTATTAAAGAGGGAACCCAGTGAAGATGGTACTTGGGCCCTGAGCAGTTCTCTAGTCATGGCTGGATTTTCAGCCAAATTCAAAAGGAGTTTCAAAACCTGAAATTTGGTTTCTTCATTTCCTGCTGAATTAGCAAGCATGTGCTGATACTCATTAGTAACAGTCATGTTCGTAAGCAATCTTAGTCCCGCCAGCTGCACAGATGAGTTCAAGCGAGAAGTGATTGTGTCATCACACACTTGATTCATGTATATCTTAAGCCTGCGCTGATTTTCAGCATTCACACTCAAGTTATTTAGGACAATTAAAGCCTTTTCCTTAACTATGGGATCCCGAGTATTGAGAATCTTTGCAACAATCGGGAGACCACCCAGATCACGAATAATATCTCTGTTAAATGCATAAGCAGCATTGTTACCCAGGGCAATTAAAGCTGCTTCGAGAATATAAGGCTTTTCAGACATCTCAACCAAGCAAAGAACTTTTTGCAACTCTTGAGGGGACAAAATAGTATCATCTGAATTGGGGGAAGCCCTTTTCTGCACGGCCCGACGAGCCCGGGTAGCCCTGGCCCTTGCCCTGGCCCTAGCTCTGGTCCCAGCCTCAGTCCCAATCCGGGCCCAAGGTGGGTACCATACTATACCTTTGTTCTCACTGTTGTCATCATCATCATCAGACCAGTCATTGTACCTGGCTCCAGGACAGTCCCCAACATCATCCATGTCGCCAGACCCACCCTCAGCCATTTTTTCCTTGTTCTGTTTTCTTCCCCTGGTCAGTCTATAAATGCAATAGCAGGCGCCAGCCCCAATCACCAGTCCTGCGGTCACCCAGCCTACTTTCCTGGCGTAGCCCATGCAATCGTCCCTGACGATATCAGGGACCAAGGAACAGAGTAGTCACAGGCTGGGGGAGGAGGGCTATGGGCCTGGCCTGGGTGCAGGCCTTCGGAGGATGATTGTCTTCAGCCTCTTCAAGGCCACAACAGCTGATTCTGGAGGCGGACCTTAGGGGGTGGAGGAAGGAAAAGGGGTTTGAGTTTCTCTTCTCCTTGTGTTGTCCCATGCAGAGAGTTGCACAGAGGGATAAGTAAATGAGTTCTTGGCAGGAAATGTAGATTGTTAACAAATTCTTTCCTCATTTCACTCTCCCCCTACCCTCCGCAGTCCACCCCCTCCCCAAGCCCAGATAAAGGCAACGGAGCCCATAGTCTGCTGGGCCCTCAGCCACCCCAACCTCGGGTGTTCCCAGGGAGTGGCACCTTGCACTAACCTCCTTCAGACAGGCAGTTTGCCCCTTCTTCCCTCCCCTGGAGGTGTGCCACGCCCAACAACCCTTGCAATCTGCAGAGAGACCAGAGCCAGTGAGAACTGAAGCCTTGATGGATTGACTGTTCATTCCTTGCTTTCCTGATTCACCTATCTAGGTTGTCAGATTAAAAAAAAAAAACAAAAAAACCTCTCTATGCCATCCAAAACATGCATGTGCCTGCCCCTTCCCTAGCCTGAAATGGGAGGGATGTTAGGGAAATAAGGTAGGATTGGGTGAGCCTGTCCAACCGCGGGCGATTTCCAACCCCTCCCCCATTCCAAGCAGCCCCCACGCCCACACCGACCTCTACTGATCTGAGGAAACTTCCTCCCTCGCTTCAAGTGGTGCCACCTGCTACAGCAGACCTGCAGGATGACAGATCGAAAACATGGGGACTAAATGCTGTTGAGAGAAGAGGATTATGAACAAACTATCTGATAGGTTTCCCTTCTGTCATTTTCCCCCACCCCACCCCCCGCGACACACGCGCGCGCGCTCGCACACACACGCGCACACACACACACACACATCGCACGCCATTTCGCCACAGTCCCGGGAGTGCAAGAGACACAGTCAGACTCAAACCCAACCTAGATTATTGCCATCTCTGGTTTATCCCCACCCCCACCACCGCCCCGGTTAGGGTCCCCATTTGGTCTTACCCTCAAATCGACCTTCACCGATCGGGGTTAATTTCCTTCCTCTTCTCTAGCCTGGCGTAGTGCCGCAACCTACGGAAAGACTGGCAACCCGGGAGAGGCTCGGACCCACAAAACACAGAGCCATGGTCAGGAAGACACAGTCACAGTCAGAAAAACTGGAAACAGCCGCTACCGAGTGCTTGGTGGACGGACCGGTCCCCAGAACAGAAAACTCTTTCCTAATTCGGAGGTCTGGTTGTCAAAGGTTTCCCACCCCTATGACCCCTCTCGGGGTTCTGCTGACACATCACGTTGCACCCCCCCCCCATGTCCAGCCTTTCCCCGCCGGCACTGTCCTGGAGTACTGGGGGCAAACACCCAGGCCGCAGCTCCCTTTCCAGATTATGGCCTCGGTTCCACCAGATTCCCACCTCCCAATCTCTGAGCTCCTCCCCAAACACCCCGCTGCTCACCATTTCGCAGCAGCGAAATGGGCTGCGGGCAGGACAGATGTCTTGGAAAGCCGGCGGCGAGTGGGAGAGACGATGGAGGCGCCCCAGGACCCGCGACGGTCTCCGCCCTGCGCCCTCGGCCACCCCCACCTTCTGGAATCTCCCAGGCACTGACCTGCAGGGATCCGGGAAAATTTCCTTCTCCTCCTCCTTCTTGCCTCTGCTGCAGGCCCGCTCGCCCTCAGGGCAATGGGGAGCTGGTACTCAGACGGGAACAACGACCAGAACAAGAAGGACTTCTGCACACGTCAGCTCTTGGTCACGTGAGAGCTACGTCATCCACCAACTCGGGTCCCCAATTTCCCCTCCCACCAGCAGTGCGGCAGAAGAGGGCCCGCCCCCCTCCATTCCCTCCCCCATATCAGGCCTTGTTACTCTTTCTTCTTTGCTAATCCCATCTCCCTGTAGTTGTGTTTGCCTTCCTCTGATTACCAGAAAGGGACAGCATCTTCCCCTGGGGTTACTGGCCACTTGTACTTTTTGAAAAATTGCCTCTTCCTTCCCTAGGCTCCTGGGGCAGCAACCTCTCCTTCCACCTCCCCACCTTCCAGCTACAAATGTCTACCGTTTCCTCTGAAATCTAGTCCCAGATCTGAAAAGAAAAAGCCATCAGAAAAGGAGACCTGGAGTGAGTGTGGTTTTTTCTTTCTTAATGCTTTTTTGTTCTTTCAGTTCTGCCCTCTCCCACCCCCAGCCTACATTCTTTTTATGAGAAAAGAATTGCTGTAAAGCCATTTTCATTTGAGAAAAAAAAGAGTGGGAGTTGGAGAGTGATGTTGGGTGATGGCCTCCAAAAGTCCCACATTTTCTCACTTGCAGGGAGTGTTACACACTTCACTCAAAGCAATCTTAATGTCTTCTGGGGCCTAGCACATAACACAACCCTGAATGAGCTCATCAGTGTGTCTGAGGATACATAAATCTTCTGACTAGGCCAGTCTTCTAAGCAGGAGACTTTTACTCCCGTCATTTAGCAAGGAAGAGGCATGGAGACCTCAGAAGCCAGTGACACAGAAAAGGTTGAGTAGAAATCTCAACTATGTCGTGGATGTCTGTCAGATAGAGGGGCACGCACACTGACAAAGTGAGTGGCAGACAAAGAACATTACAAAATATACAAATAGTATCATCTTTAAATGAAATAGATGTTAGAGGAACACTGAGACCAAGACAAAATTTGCTGAACTCGGAATCTAGCAATTAGTGTGAAACCTTTTCACTGACTACTTTGATGAACTCAATGATCCACGTGTCAGCAATGAGAAAACTATTTAAGTGGGAAAAATAATAAAATAATGTCAGAACACGGGGTCTACAGTGGAATATGCCCTAATATTTAAGATATGTTTATTATCTGAGTATAAATTTTAAGGTCCACAAACCATATGGGAGTAAATCAAGAGTCTGGGAAGTTTGGGAACAGGCAAAACTCCAGGGAAATTCATATCGATATAACTTCTGGAAGACAGTACTAGGATATGACTAAAATTTATTTTTTTCCAGTTTTATGAGATATAATTGATGTACAACACTGTGTACGTTTAAGGTGAACAGGATATGACTGAAATTTAGTAAGCAGAAACCAAATCAACTATATGATTCTGTATTTGAAGAAAGATCATGTGCAGCAAGGGGGCTTATTTAAGCACAGGAATATATGAAAAGGAGAGTCAGAGGAAAGTGTTGATAGTTCCCACCCAAGCACTGTCTGGAGGAGAGGGAGTCTTGGCAAAGATGAATGGAAAAAATAGCTTTCTTTGGCAGAGCCATCCCCGTGATGCATAAGTGTACTTCAAGTTTCTTAGCTGAGAGACACTTCTTAACATGCACCAATGCCCTTGCTCTGACTTCAGGCTCACCACACAACCTTCTGAGGTTGTGACTTCCCAAGGAGTAGCTTGCCAACAGGGAGAGAATGAGCTGGTAAAACTGACAGAAACCTCTAGTACCCCTGAAGGTTGTATTTCTCAGGATAAATTTTTCAGTTGTCATTCCTTTGTGAGACTTAGCTTCCCTTGTGGCCTTCTTACATGGAGAGGATGCAAAGATCCATGGGTTTGGGCATTCAGATATAGATTTATATATGTCTCTATGAATGGGAGTCTTTCCTTGACAGAGGCATCTGCTCTCATCATACAGACAAAATCAGGTATTGATCATAAAGGGATGAGGACAAGACTGAACTGTAGATGCAACCTTGTCTACAATCTTGTCAGGGAAGCCAAGTAGTTTTAGCTTAGAAGACAGCCTTGTGCATCACCATTTCAGAATTGTACCTCTATAACGTTCACTTAATGTGAAAGTGAAAACTAAAGCATGCTGTGGCAAATAGGCCCGCAGCATCTCAGTCACAGCTGAACAAAGGATTCATAACCAAAGTAGTTAAGGGGCTCCTGCAAATCGACAATAACATCTGAAACAGTTTACATTTCTCTCTGGGAAAAGAAAGGAAGTGCATTTTACATTTTACATGCCCTGTCCTTTTCCCCAGCAAAAGGGTGGGCATTGTGCCCAAAACAGACCAACTCAATACTCTCTTACTGAATTTTAAACCTTGAGCAGAGACAGAAAACCAAAAATCAGTGGAAGTATAGCATCCTGAAAAGACCATATATCAATTTCTTCTACCTAGACACCTCAGAGCTGATGCTGGTCTTCAACATTCGTTTAAGTTAAACAGATTTGCTTTCTGTTGCTTGCAATTAAACAAAATTAACTAATACACAACACAAAAACAAATAACACAATACAAAAAGTAATATAGCTTTTTAAGATAACAATATTCTATAATTTATTTTTTTCACCCTCCAAAATTCCATTAGTGTTACCATCTGCTGATCCTTTTCTGTTTTTGGATACTTTATAAATCACACATAATATGTGACCATATACTGATTTAAGCCAAAAGGTTCTTTTTGGCAGTGGCTTCACATAGTCTTTTGAAGGCTTGTCTGGAGAACTGCTTAAGGATTTTCCATTTTTGCTGTTGAAATATTATGTCAGGCAAATAGCATGTCCTTAAATAAATATTTGTTGGTGGATTTATAACGGAGAGAAAAGTAGATTTTAAATGCTAGTCTCAGGCTTCCCTGGTGGTGCAGTGGTTAAGAATCCGCCTGCCAGTGCAGGGTATAAGGCTTCTAGCCCTGGTCTGGGAAGATGCCACATGCCGTGGAGCAACTAAGCCTGGGCGCCACAACTACTGAGCCTGCGCTCTAGAGCCCACGAGCCACAACTACTGAAGCCCCCGCACCTAGAGTCCATGTTCTGCAATAAGAGAAGCCACCGCAGTGAGAAGCCTGCGCACCGCAAGGAAGAGTGGCCCCCACTCGCCACAACTAGAGAAAGCCCGCATGCAGCAATGAAGACCCAACGCAGCCAAAAATAAATAAATAAAATAATTTTTTAAAATGCTAGTCTCCAGGTTCCTTGGTAGGAATTGTGGATCAAAATTACAAAGTAAGAGAACTGAAAGTGTTATCATTCCCATGGGGTTTAGGAAGTTTAAGAGAGGGAGTGGATCCAAACAGAAAAGGTCTGACAGCCTGGGAGAATGGTGGTCAGGGGTTATACAGTGGAATAACTGAAAAATATACCAAAGGGGAGAGATATTTTTTACTAATGAGGAGTGGTAAGAGTGGAGCTTTTGTCCTTGAAGGCTGGCTGAGTTGTGAGAATGAGTTCTTACTGGAAAGCCACGTCAATGACACTGAAGCACCTGCCTCTTTTAAGCTTTACATACTCCTTAGTTCTTTCTAATGTATATATTCAAAATAAATAAAAGGCACTTATATAAGTTCTTAGCAGCCAAAGATTGAATGATAACAGTTGAATCTGCGAGTTCTGTTAGTAAGGTTTCATAAATAGAATTCACTTGCCTCAGAGAAGCAAATAAAAGTCAATGAAAAGAACGGTGTAAGGAGATGATGGCAAAATAAATGAGGTAGGGGTTTAGAGAGATGAGCTGTAATACTGGTTTGTTTGGTCTATAAAAGTTTGAGGAAGACCAGAAAGCTGTGACATGTTCTTGACTTCTGAATTTTCACCAGCAAGGCACTCTGGGCTTCCTGGCTCACCTCCTGAAAGGGCCTCCCCCACACTGGGGCCCCTCACACAGGGAGCTTCCTGCTGGGGTGTCAGATTTCAGCGTTCTAAGAAAGAGGCTGCCTGAAGGGACTATATTTAGAGTATGACTCCCCAGCAGGGGCAGCTGGATGTCTGGGGACTAAGTTCTGCATACTTTATCCCTGAGTTCTGGGATTATTCTGAGGGGCTTGTATGGGTGGTGCAGTGAAATTGTAACAGAAGGCAGGGAATGAAAAGGACTATTTCCCCTGGCGACTGCTTGGGATCCTGTAAATCGTGCCTTTTGTGAGAGAAAAATGACGGATCTCAAGGGTTGTCCCAGTGATTTACAGTCACCCACAGACTCTAACTACTATTTCCACTGGAAAATGCTGGACACTAGCCACTGCTAGGGGGACATACAGTGCACGAATGACAGATACCAGAGATATTTCTCCAGTGTAATGATGAAATGAAAATTCCATCTACCAAGTCTCATTTTCATCAATGGGATAGCAGGGAATCCTCTAATTTCTGGATGATTTTGGGGTTACACCATGAAACTTCAGAATAGATTTAAATAAAGACATTTGAATGAAAAGCAAGCTCATCTGGGAAGTTACTAATTTGTAAGATTCATCTAAATTTGGGGTCTGCAGAAAGTCTGTTCTTTGAAGCCAGAATGAAAGCCATCCAGCAGTCCCCTCTGACGATCTCAATCGTGTGACGCCTAACACCAGGAGTTCAGCCAGGAAGAAGGGATAGTGGTTCACTTAACTAAACTGGTCACAATTAAAGCACTGACCACTTCACTATAGATTCATTTTATCAGTCAATTTATAAATCATATTGAAAGCACACTGGCTTTGTTTGTAATGATATGTTTTTAAATTTTAATATACTGCTTGAAAGCTGCTATTTCCTGTGCAATCAGAAGAAAATATTTTCAGTGTGGTATAAATTAGCTTAAATCGATGAGTCCTACTTATTAACTAGGAAATCTTGTGTATATATATATATATGTATATATATATATATATTTGTATTTTCTGATTACAAAATAGTGTAGCTTGAATCAATAAAAAAAGGAAGGACTGACGAAAGCGAACATAAATATATTAAAAATACTAACAAAAATCTCAGTGCTACTTGGGCTTTTCTTCCCCGCCCCTCCGCTAATTTTGGTGCTGAGACTGGTTGTGGGAAAGGGTAAAAATTAAGAAAGAGAGGACAGGAGCTTCAGAGCCAAGGAAAGGATAAGACATTTCCCCAAAAAGAAGTATAAGTAATGATAGACCCAGGAAAAGATGCTGCCCCTTCCTGTAATTAGAGAAAGGCAAAGGCAGACACCAGAGAGCCATGGTCACTTCTGGTTTCTGGTATTGTTACAGAGGAAAAGAGTGACAGGGCCCAGTGTGATGGGGGGAGGTACGGGGCAGGCTGGCGCCTGCCGCACTGCTTGTGGGAGTGGAAATTGGGGGCCAGAGCTCACTGGTGACGTGGTCGTCACGTGACCAAGAGCTGCCTAGAGCAGAAGTACTGCTAGTCGCCTCCGTCTGGGTACCAGCCCCCTATCACACTGCAGGCGTGTGAGGGAAGAAGGAAAGTAGCCCCGGACCGTGCAGATCGGTATGAGCGTGGGCTCTGCTTGGAGGGAGATGGGATGGGAGAAGGCCAAGAGCGCCACGGATCCACGTTCGGGCTGATGGGGGCTGTGTCCCCTTCTCGCCTACTTTCTAAATACCGCCGCCCCCCCCCATGCCCATTTTAGTAGAGAGAACTGGCGGACTTCAGGCGGCGGGTGAGGGGAGTGAATGGCTGGTACAGAGACTCCAAGGAAAGAAAGGTTCCACAATCAGGGCACTCGTGTCCCGAGTGCTGCTCCGTCCACCAAGCACTCCGTCCCCTCGGTCCCCCGTCTGTCTGCAGGTTTGTAGATCTGTTGGCCAGTAGGTCGCTGGGGAAAGTCGCGGCGAGCGAAGGACCAAAGTGCCTTGGGACCGTGCAGGTCGGTGTGAAGGTGGGATGAGCCCTGGCCCCTGGGTGGGGGTGGCGGTGGGGATGGCGCAGAGGGGGTGCTGGGATCGGTGCGGGCCGGGTCCGAGTCGCCCCCTCCCGGCCCCTTCTTTCTCCACACCCCCTCCCATTTCAGTGCAGGGAAAGGGGTGTGGCGGCCTTTGCGGGGGAAATGGCGGACGCCAAGGGGGGTGGGGCGGGGAAGCCCGCGTTAGGAAAGTCAGGAGGGTGTGAGAAGTATTTTAAACTCAAAGGCTGGAAATTCAGAAAAGCGGGTACTGGGACCTGTGTTCTCAGTACTGATCCATCCACTACACTTTAACTTCCCCAAAGGCGGCTGTCTTTCCATCTGTCCTTCTGCCAGACAGTCTGTCCGTCAATCACTGTGGAAGGCGAACTGACCACAGAAGACAAGAGAAGGAGAAGGAATTTACCTGACTTTGGTAGAGGTTGGTGGGAGAGACTGCCTCTGAGTCTTTGGGGGTGGGGGTGTGGTGGAGGAGACTACTTGAGGGTTAGCCTCTCCTGTCACCCTCCTGGCTGTCACAGCCCAGCCCCACCTCCTGCCCTTCTCTGTAGGCCCTGGAAGAGAAATGGTCGGTCCTGAGGGTAGACAGAGGATGACAGAAAAGAACAAAGAAATAGTTGCCAAATAATCCACCTCTCTCAACCAGAACTCAAACTCCACTCTGTCTGCCTGGTGAGGCACAAATCCAGGCACAGCCCAAAGTCCTAATATTATTTTTCACCCATAGATTCATCACAAGAGAGCCTCAGGAGCCTGGAATATAGACTGAAGACGTCTCCCCTCCACCATCATTCAGGTGGAGGCTTAAGAACACTCTTCATTCAGGTGGAGCAAGGCCCTCTCCTGTCCTGCCCCCAGGCTGGCACGGACCTGAGCATGGGCCGGGCTCGGGAAGTGGGTTGGATGGCAGCAGGACTGATGATTGGGGCAGGTGCCTGCTACTGTGTTTACAAACTAACCATAGGAAGAGATGACAGTGAGAAGTTGGAGGAGGAGGAAGAGGAATGGGATGATGAACAGGAGCATGATGAGGAGGAGCCCGAGATTTGGTTTGATTTCACAACTATGGCTCGGCCCTGGAGTGAGGATGGGGATTGGAATGAACCTGGGGCCCCTGGTGGCACCGAGGACAGGCCTTCAGGTGGGGGCAAGGCCAACCGAACACATCCGGTAAAACAGCGCCCATTCCCTTATGAACGTAAAAATACTTGGAGTGCTCAAAGCTTTAAAAATTTCAGTTGCGTTCTTGGCCTCTCCAAGTGCCCTTTCATTCAGGGAAAAGTGTTGTTATTTCAGCCCAGGGACACTGGTTTTTCATTTAGCCACGATATCAATAGTCATTTGGCCAGCCTCTCCACTGCTGGAAACACGATCCCTATTCCCGACCCTGCTGTTGAGGCTTTCTGTGCCCTGGATAACTTGAAAGCCAGTGTTGAAAATCAGGGCCAGATTAAGATGTACATCAACGAAGTGTGTCGGGAGACCGTGTCACTTTGCTGCAACTCATTTCTGCAGCAGGCCGGATTAAATTTGTTAATAATCATGACAGTTATTAATAACATACTTGCCAAGTCCGTTTCAGACTTGAAGTTTCCTTTGATACCAGAGGGAAGTGAATGTGCTGAGGGGCACGTTGTGAAACCCTTGATGGGTTTGTCTGAAAAGCCAGTCTTGGCGGGGGAGTTGATGGGAGCCCAGATGTTGCTCTCCTTCCTGTCCCTCTTTATCAGGAACACAAACAGACAGCTTCTCCCAGAAATCCCGGCCTCTTAAATGGCCCCCTCCAACAGGATGGGACTGATCCACCCCGAACCAAATCCCGATCAGTGAACACACACTTGTGTTCTCAATCAAAGACTCTGCAGTGGGTGCTATTGAAGATCCAGCCTTAGCCAATAGCCATATCTCTGGGTGAAAGTTACACTTGCTAAATCCAGGACCACTCTCTTGTTGGCCAGGCAGGGGTTCCCACAGAGCTTTGAGTAACCTCTTGGTTTTGCAGTCTGCAGGCAGTGCGCATTGTAAATTGCTCCCTTGCGGCCTTCTTCCTGTGGTAAAGGGATCGTTTCAGCTGTGGGGTGAAAGAACAACATTTTCTAGCCTGACAAGGGATGCCTTGCCTGTGGTGGTCTCCCTGTCTAAGCTGGACCATCTTGTGGAGACCAGACCCATATGGGAGCTTGTGCCGAAAATGCATTGGTTGCTGCGTAGGTTGAATTCTTTTTCATTTGCTCTCTTTTCTTCACGAGCCTATGGATGGTAAACCTATTCAGCAAAAAATGTACACTCCCCTTCTATGAGCTGTACTGACTCAGCCTCGTCCACCAAGTCGGCATTTTTATGTATCACCAATAAAGCTGTGTGCTTTAGCTCGCAAAAACGAGAACATGGTACTTGTCTTTGAGTTTATAGTCTGCGTGAAGAGGAAGCCCAAAATACATGATCAGTGCTAACTAACTGGGGCGTTTGCTCCTGAAAAATGTCCGCCTAGCAGTGCCCACAGGAGGCAGTGGAAGAGATGGGCTGCAGGGTTCAGGATAAGCTTCCAGAAGGGGCTGGGGGCGGGGATGGGGCAGGGGAATGGGGTGGAGGGTGGAATTAAGAAGGACTGTTGGGAGGACTAAAGGAGACAACACCTGTGAAGCAGGCAGCACAGTGCCTGTTGCAGAGGAATCCTTCCCTCGATGAAGGTGTCTTTCCTCGCCTGCTGGCCTAGAGAGGAAGGTCAGTATCCTTGAGGTTTTGTCTACACATCCTTGGGGGCCACAGGGCAACCCATCCCTGCACAGGTTAGTGCACAGTTATAGCAGTAACAGTTGCTACTTGCTGAGTGCCTGCTTTGTGTTGTTCTCTCTCCTGAGAAGCAGCTGTGAAACCTACTTCCAGGCCCCCTCCCTTCCTTGGGATGCCAAGCTCAAATTCCTGGCCGAGTGAAAAGGCTTGGCCGTTGCTTCCTCTGGGGAACCTCCTTTCTGCCCTATCCCTGGTACTTCTGTGGGATCCAGGAAGGGGACAGTGGAGGCCTCCGTGAGTCCCCGAAGGGGTGGGAGGGCAGATGCTGAGGGGCGTGGCATGGCCATGGCTGGTCCATCCATCAGGAGACATATTCATGCCCTCCATCCAAGCCCCTGGCACCCCTTGGAGGAAAGGAAGAACACAGCCCTGCACACTGAACCACTCCATGAATCTGGGCAACTCATTCCACCACCCCCTCCCAACATTTACAGACCCCTCCCAGCAAGCCTCAGCCCCTGCATCACCAAAGCCAGGTTCCCTGCGTGTTTTTGATGTGTCGTGAAATGGTTCTCTTCCTCAAAGCCCTGGCTAACAGAGGGGACAAGAAGCTTCCTTTGGGCAGTGCTGCTTCTGAGCTCGGTGCCCTCTCCTGGTCTCTCTGGGATGTGACTCTGGGCCACTGCTCCCTGGGCATCAGCTGTGTACAAGTGCTCTGCCTTCTGACTGCCCTCCTCCATATAGAGCATAGTTTTATTTCAAATTTTTAGGTTTTTTTTTCAATTTTTTCCTCCCTTCTCCTGGAGTTTGGGGAGCAGGTGGGTTGCCACTCTCCTGCTTGTACTCATCCACCCCACAGTTTGGGCTGACTAGTAGTCACGGGTGCCTGCCAGGGACTCTGCCCCTTCCCAGGCCCTGCTGCCTTGATTGGCCAGCATGTGACTGTGGTTGCTGCAACATCACACCCCCAGCAATGTTCACCCCGCTGGGGCTTTGTTTGCTGGCTCTGGGGCCCTGTCTTGTTTCCAAAGAGCTGCTAATGTGGTCCCCCCTTTCTCCCAAGCCAGCCTCAGGTGGGCTGGGCAGTCTGTTTCCCACGCAGGATTGCCCTGCGGGCAGCCCAGCATCCACTTGTCCCAGTGGAGCCTGCTGGTCGATGGTGTCTTCAGCGACACCTTACTGCTCAGCCTCTGTAATCTCAGCCCAAAGGCAGAGCATTTCTCCTTCCTCCTGGCTCGGGGTCCCAAATTAACACGTGCTTCCCTCCTGCTCTGCACTCTGCCGAGTACCCCGTTTTGAGTCCTGCCACAGGTAGTAGGTCCACCATCTCCGAGGCAGGCATTTGGCACTTTCAGGCCACAGCTGACTCCTATCGCAGGGAGGGCCTCGGAGACCTTCTGCCCATCTCCTGAGCAATTCTGTCACAGGGCAGCCTGCCAGCATTGATGTGTCTCCACGGTGTGGTCTTGGCCCAAGTCAAGAGCCCCTTCTCCATTTGCTGGCACTGCCCTCCCGAAAACACTCCCTGCGTGTGGAAGCACAGGGCTCTGGTCTGCCCTTCATCCCTTTGTTGGTTGCTGTGCCAGGGCAGGAGCCCAGTTCCCAGTTCTGCCTACTACAGGGGTGCAGAGGGGGACTTCAGAGGGGGGCGTGGAGGGGGGGTGCAGGGGGCGGGGCACATGCCTGCCAGTCAGGGCCTGATTAAGACATTCAGAGGCTTTCAGCACTGGAAAGACTAAGGTGCCTCCTCCCATGCTTAACTCAAAAATGAAACGGCAGGGGACCACCAAGCACAAACTAAGCCGCCTCTCTTCTGCAACCAAATGAGCTTCTTGCCAGGTTTCTCCATGGCAAACATTAGACAAGGTCATCAAAGCTTGAGCTTGTCACACTCTGTGGGGAGGTGCCTGCCTTGATGGGGCCGCCCTAGCCGAAGCTGTCTCTTTGGTAAATCTGGAACTGCCTCCACAGACTGCCCTCCAGCTCCAGAAAGGGCCCTGGATTCCCTTCTTCTTCATCTCATTATCTTGTCTACACTTTGTGCCTGTAGGTACTGATTTCTGCACTAACTCCCAGGGCCCTCCCAGCCTGCTACCTCTCCTGGGAAGTTTGTTATTTGACCCCCCACTGCACCCCTCCCTGCCATAAGTGCAGGCAAGGTTGCAGAGATCCAGCTTCCCAGCTGGTACACCCAGCCTCACACAATGCATCCCCACGGGGGCCCTTAGTGCCACTCTCAGAGCAGTTTCAACCACGATCCCCTCACTTTGAAATGTCACCAGGGACAGGCACAGCCCTCACCAAGTCGGTCTCTACACTGGGCCACCAAAGCACCTTTAGGCTAAGAGTGTGACAGCTGTGTGCAGCACTGGCCCCCACCTCCTCCTAGAGGCCACCGGTTGGTCGAAGATGCGATGGGCACTGCAGCACAGTCCTGTGGGGCATCAGTCAGTCCCTTGTCTGCTCCTCATGCTGTATGGATCACCTTACACTCTGTCACTTCCCCCTTCACTTTACTCACGACCTCCTCTTCCCCTGAAGGCTCATTTTCCCTTATTGCCTCTTGCTTTTGCGTGTGGCTTAGGACGGCCTTCCCCACTTCCCAATTACAAAAGGAGTCTCCTGTATGGTTTCCTAATTCTTTCATACCTTTCTACTTAAAGGGTTGTCTCAGGGATATACTTGGAATTTCCTGGCTCCTTTTCCAAATGGATAACCTGTTAACCCAGCACCACTCATCACTCCATTCTCACGGTATAATTGGTGCATTCTGGGACCTTTATGCACCCAGCTGAGCATCCCCGCTGTGGCTTCCTGCTGTGGAATTCCTCTTGGGGCACAACCCTTTCTCCCAGGAACCCCTCACTGACTTGGGGACCCTCTGCTCACTGGGTGGCCTGTGGCAGGTGGGGTGCGTGTGTTGGCAGGGAGGGTGTGTTGGTGCCTGTGAGCAGGCGTCTGCCCCAGGTACCTTCTCAGGACGTGCTCTGGCCCACAGGAAACTTAGGAACACCCCCGCCCTGACTGCTTTAGCACCAAGGGAAATGGGACTGTTTTCTTCCCTCACCAAAATTGCCTCATTTTTGTGAGGCAAAACAAGTTGGAGCACACTGTGTTGTGCATATTATTATAAACATTTTATATATCTGTTGTGTATGATTTTAAATTTCCTATTTTAGTAAAAATTATCTTTTTTTAAATCATCATATAAAATTGTGTAGTGATACACATTTATAGGCATAACACTTTTTGCCTCCTTTTGGATATATTGGGTTTGTATGGGGAAAAGTCAGTAAAAGACTCATTTTTATTTTTCTGTCTTTTGTGCCTTTGGAATTTTGTACTTATATATATTTTTTTCCATCAAAAGTAAGTATTATGGGAAATGATTTTTGCTTGTTTGTATAAAAGCTCTTGATGGAACATTGTTTCTACAGTCAGGCTCCTTTGGTGAACTCTCTTATTATATTTATTATTTTGCCTCTTTTTTCTTTCTGACTTTTTTTTTTTTTGCAGTACACGGGCCTCTCACTGTTGTGGCCCCTCCTGTTGTGGAGCACAGGCTCCGGACGCGCAGGCTCAGCGGCCATGGCTCACGGGCCCAGGCGCTCCGCGGCATGGGGGATCTTCCCGGACCGGGGCACGAACCCGTGTCCCCTGCATCGGCAGGCGGACTCTCAACCACGGCGCCACCAGGGAAGCCCTCTTTCTGACTTTTTAACTAGACAAACATAGTTTACAAATTATGACAGTTTTATCTCTTCTTATTCAATATTTTATAGCTCATTTCTTTTTCTTATCTCATTGCACTGTCAAGGACCTCCAGAGCAACAGTATTAATGATACAGTGCATACTTGTCATGTTTCTGATTTTAATGGCTGATGTTTCAGCAGTAAGGTTGATATTTGCTGTAGGTCTTTGAATAATATAATATGTCATCTATGTATATAATAGAATTTATAAAGCAGTAAAAATAGGTGAACTAGATCTCTACAGTTCAGTCTAGACAATTCTCAGAAACCTAATGTTTAGTGAAATA